GCTATTTAAAATACAGATAAGACTATGTACAGAGCATTTAAAATTATGAACAAAACAATTAAAACTATGAACGAATCACTTGAAATATGAACAAAATTATATATAAGGGTTGAGCAACATAAACATACCCTTTGAGAAATGAAGAACGAAAAAGCGATACAATGAGTTCATTTCATAAAATAAAATAAAAACTTTACTTGAATATATATATATATATATATATATATATATATATATATATATATATATATATATATATAAATAAACAGTTAATTATAATTAAATAAAAAAAAAATGCATGTATTAAAATTCCTATGCAAATGCATGTACTATCTCTTATCAAGTATTATGATTATATGATTGCTACTCAATAAATATATATAATATTAATAGTTAGCTGGTATCTGACTGTTTTTGGAACAGGAATTGGAATAGGAGGTTTTTGAATGTGTATAGGGAAGGGGCATGTCGAATTTTGATCGGGAGGGAATTCCAAAAGTTGACAGAGCGGGCTATAAAGGAATTTTGGAATGAGGAAGATCTATGAGAAGGGATGTACAGGTCAGAGGGTCGGGATCTTGTAGTGAGGGAATGGATTGAGGTCTTAAATTTGAGAAGGTTGTAGGCATAAGAAGGACGATGATCGGTAATGATTTGATAAAGGAAAGTGCCTAGGAAATATTGTCTTCTTTGGGAGGGGAAGAGCCACCCTAACTCAGTATAGTGGTGGGAGACACGGGAGCGTCTCGGGGTCCCAATTACAAATCTTACGAAGCTATTCATAAATAATTTATGAATATATATTTTATACATATATTATATATATGTATGTATACATATATTTTCGAAATATATATATATATATATATATATATATATATACATATATATATATATATATATATATATATAGTTATAGGTGCATATTTGTTTCTGTAGGTGGTTTGACCTAAATAAACATTCTAAATATCTACTCTTCTTAAATTATAACGCACTTACTTCAGCTACTAAATGTATTTATTCACGCATCATGAAAAAAAATCCTATAAGTATTAGATTGCTAAGTCTAATTTTAAATCTTTAAGACACATAAAGACGTTTATTCTTAAAAAGAATATATTAATTTCATTTTTACTTTCACTTACACACACACACACACACACACACACACACACACACACACATATATATATTTCCATTTTTGTAGGGACTTGAGATAGAAAGGCCGTCGGGGATCCGTCCGTGAAGCCTGGAAAGTACTTTTCCAGTAACTTTTACATTACTCAGCAACTTTTTCGTCAACATGGACTAACTGGAAATAAAACTTTATATAGGAAGTCCTGTGAGTAAAGGAGAGTATTTAAGGATCTGATCGTAGAACTAAAGATCTAAAAAAAAAGTTGAAGTCTTGTTGAAGTCAGATTTTTTGTTTGAATAGGAAGCGACAACTAAACAAATACTTAATTTAAATAATTTAAAATTACTTTATAGTAAATAATCCGTGGTATCCTTTTAACAAATTATTAACATCTTCCTGAAACTTCGTAAATAGCTTTATCTCATCGTAACCTACTAATTTATTCACGAAATTGGTGCGTTTCCAATATGGAGGGGAGCAAAATTTGTCCATTTAATTAAAATTATAATAACAATAAGGCTTAGCGAACCCGAAGGTTCGATGCCGATACCACCAATCGATGTCACATTATTCCATCCACCGGGCTCCGTTTCAACCCGACCCCGCCAAATCAGCCTAAACGCAATCTTCCCATCTTTGTTTTGGTCTCCCCCTCGGACACTTGCCTGTTGGTACAAGATATATTAACTTTTTAGGAATTCTTTCGTTACTAAGTTCAGCGATTTTATTCGCCTCAACATAATCATCTCAATTATACTAACCGGATACAGTTCATGCAATTCAGGATTGTGTAACCACTTAAATTCTCCTACTGACAATTTCGGTCGTCCTTTTATAGATATGCGAATATTTCAGAAAATGCCGAACTGCTTTCTCTTAAATATGCCTAAACGTATTTTTCGTGATACGTCTGTATATTAAAAACCACAAGTTCGATTTAGTTCGAATTTGGAGGGAAGGATTGGAAAACAGGTAATGAATTAGATACCCATTTCAGAAAACTCCATCCCCCAATTTATGAAAATACTCCCGCTTGTATTTAACACTCTTACATTTTGTAAACGGCTCGTTCGATTAGACGCAAAATTGAAGGAAATACGGAGAATAGTGTAGACATTCCCTAGTATCAATTTCATTTAATTCTATTGAACAATTAAAATTAATATAAATAACTTTTAAAAATATAATGCATTGATCTTGTGAAAGGGAGATTATGTTCATAGTATTGTTTTATGAGGTTATACAATTTTAGACTGTAATAAAAAACGTTGCATATTATTCCACAATGGTTTATTATTTCTAAACAATTATACATCTAAAGTAACATTACCTTCTAGCTACAAAGAAAAATAAACAAAAGGTGATTCCAATTATTGGACTAAACTTTTTTTTTTTTTAATCATTAGTAACATGCTAAAAAAAAAAATAGCATTACTTCAGTAACACATTCAAAATTTAAAAACCAAGCAAAGGATATAACATTTGGAGTAGAACATATAAAAAAATAACAAAAACTGGAGACCATATCTTTGCTCCTAATTGTCCTATTTTAACAATTTTTTTTTGTTGTTTTTAGGAATTTTCGTATACTTTTAAAAAATCATATACAACATCCACAAAAATGAAGTATACTTTTTGAGTTATTCGGAATTAAATTTTACCATCCCTCGTAACTTTTTTTCCAGCTTCTTTTCGTTGAAGTATGTTATATAGATAAATTTAAAGGGCGTCAAGAAAATGACTTTAGCGAAGTTTCATTGAAATCTGTTCATTCGTTTAGGAGCTACAGTCTATAGCAACGCAGGTTTTTCGGCCGCCATTTTGAAAGTTAAAGGCGGATAGTAATGTCGATGAAGGAGGATTATCCTCGGGTGAGCTCTGATTTTATATCCAAATTTGAAAAAAATCGGTCCAGTAGTTTCGGAGAAAATGCTCGGACGGCGGACGGACAAACATTTTTTTATTCGTTTTTCGAATTCTACGCATCCTCGTGAAACATCAAATTTTGAGAGGGGATTAAGTTTTTGAAATTTTTGTTCGATCACAATTGTTGATTATTGAAAAGAATAAACCAAAAAGTTAATTCAAACTGAATGTTTTGTCGTTTACATATTACTGGCATGAAAGCTACTGCCAATGCAAAAAAATTTCATGTATTTTTCAATGATTGTGGGGATTGAAACTTAGATGGCCCAATATAGATTTTGCCGAATCAATTCATCACCTTTCACTCAGGCATGCGATTTCGCTTTACTATATTTACTGTTTATTTGTACATTTATACTAAATCTTGCATAGACGGTAAAAAATAACTTCATATTTATGAGTTTCTTTGTTCCTTTTGAAGTTCAACCAACTGGTTCTGGTCTCGATTTCCCTCTCAAAGTTGAAAGTGGTAAGGGCCTTTATTCAAAATCTTTTTTTAACTAGTTGTAATTGAAGGGTAGGATGTAAGCATCGATACGTTTTAAATACGTATCAATGCTTAGAGAGTATAATATTAGAGAGTATTAAAATTTTTACACTGATCTACCTTAAGCCAGTTTACATTACTTTTATCAAATAAATCGTACTCAAATCTTTTCTTTGATCAATTTTCAGGAAAACAAATCTAATTTAATTTTTTTTTGTTTCTTCATTAACATATGTAAAGATATAAAAACTTTTCTGAAATAGGTAGGAAAGTCGTGTGAGTGAACACAACATATTTTTTCTTTTCTTTCTCCACATGCTTTTATGTCCATTATTTCATATTATATAATTTCCTTTTTTTACAATCTCTCCTTTAGATCTGTAGGAGTATATTCACAATTGCATATATTATACTACAACTATTGTTACCATCTATTTACTTCAGTTTAGCATTTTGTTACTTAGTTTACTCTGTTTATACAATTTATTGAATATTTAATAAATGCATTATAGAGGTAGGAGATGGTCCGGGGTGGCGGTCATAAATAGTGGTAAAACTATTTTTATTAAAAGCCGACGTTTCGACCCGACTTTGCAGGTCTTCTTCAGGGATGTGTGTTCACCTAGGAGTTTCACTTAGAACTGAAGTGAAAATCTAGTTCTATGTGTTCAGTTGCATTCAGTTCTAAGTGAAACTCCTAGCTGAACACACATCCCTGAAGAGGACCTACAAAGTAGGCTAGAAACGTCGGCTTTTAATAAAATAGTTTTATCACTATTTAGCCTATTAATGACCGCCATCCCGGACCATCTGCTTCCTTTATACAATTTATTGTTCTTAATATTCTAATGTACTTACTTTTTATGATTTAAATAAGTTTATTCACATTGTTTATAAATTTTTATCTAAATATGATGTAACTTCCACAATTCTTTATTTATTTTTGTATCTTGTCCGTTCTAGCCCTGAAGAAGAAATGCAAAGTCGAGTCGAAACGTTGGCTTTTAATAAAATAGTTTTGCCACTATTTAGTCTATTTATGACCACCGATCCCGGACCATCTCCTTCCTTTATTTTTTCAGTTTTGTCGGAATAGCTTTCCAATGTGAGAGTTGTCAGTGAGGTATACTAGGTCCTTTCCTCACACCCTAAAATGATCCGTCATGTTTGAGGAAATCATGAATGAGTAGTTACAATTTCGGAGTGGGGGGGGGAGGGAAGAGAGAGGGTATTGCATCATTGATAATTAACGGATTGACCGCAAGGCCACGCCCCCAATCGATAGCCCTCAACTAGATAAAGTAACTTAATTGAGTAAGCATCTTTCCTCCTCGAGTGAGGTCCCTCCTCCATTTAATTAAGGTCAGATTATCACTCGCCTCCAGTAGTCTGACGGGCCTCACATGCTTTTAGCTTGAATTAAATTAATTTAATGATATTTAAAATTACCTGAGCTCATGAAGTAGGGGATCCGGAACCTGCCAGATAGGACCCTGTCCCTCAATGTGTGGAGCGAAGAGCCGTCGAAAGGAAGCGCGCCACAGACCAAGACGTAGAGCACAACTCCCAGGCTCTGCATGTCAACCAAATATTAAAAATAATATATAGATATCCTCATTCATAAATAGACATAACAATGAATGAATGAATGAAAAAAAAAAAAACGATCCTCATTTATAAATAAACATAACAATGAATGAATGAATAAAAAATAATAAATAAATATCCTCATTTATAAATGAACATAAAAATGAATGAATGAATGAAACATATAAAAAAATAATAAATAAATATCCTCATTTATAAATAAACATAACAATGAATGAATGAATGAAAAAATATAAAAAAATAATAAATAAATATCCTCATTTATAAATAAACATAACAAGGAATGAATGGATGAAAAAATATAAGAAATAATAAATAAATATCCTCATTTATAAATAAACATAACGAGGAATGAATGAATGACAAAATATAAATTTATTCAAAATTAAAAATAAATTTGGGACTAATTGTATTACTTATGGTTGTTAAATAATATGTGTCTGGTAAGGATGTATTTGAATGGTAAAAACTAAATTCAAATTATTTTTGCAGGATCTTGAAAACGGCTCCTGAAGCCGAAACGTTGAATAAAGAATACAGGAGATAAAAAAACTATGTATATTTGGTGACCTTTGGCCTAAAATATATATACAAAATTATGAGAAAATGGCACCAAACCTGAAGGATGTGTCTAGAAAAATAAATATCCTCATTTATAAATAAACATAACAATGAATGAATGAACAAAATATTAAAAATAATATGAGGAGTTGATCCGGGGAGTGCGGTCAAATAAATACTAAATTAAAATATAGTAATTATTTAATTTTTGCCAACGTTTCAACCCACTTTGCAGTCGTCTTCAGGGCTACAAAAGATATAAAACATGGTGAAAATAAAAAAAATGAATATAAGTAGATATAAAATAAGAAGAAGTTGTCATATACAGGAATAAAAAGATGATATCAGAGATATAGTGGGTGACATATATATATATATAGAGATATATGTAGAAGGTACAAACAAATGGAAAATAAGTATGAATAAAAATAAAAAATAAAGGGGAATATAGCATGTAAGTTAAAAGTAAACAGATTGCGATAAAAAATAAGGAATAAGTATATAACAAACTAATAGAGATTACATTTGATAACTGTGGGTTAACAGATAAAGATAATGAATGTTAACGAATAAATAGATTGAAAATTGAATAAGTATTGTTATAGTAAAGTTAAAATAAGAATAAGATAAAATAATAATAAGATATCAGTGGATAACAAGCTAGTGGAGGTTACATTTGATTGTAGATAAACAGATAACGGGAGTAAAGGTTAAGAAGTAAAGAAATTGATAGATTAAAAGGGTAACATTAGTGTAATATCGTTAGGATAGATAATTAAGTATAAATAACTCTATAAGAAAACAATAATTTTAAAAGAGAACTTTAGAATGTAAGTATAAATGTAAAACAAGGTTATGATGATAAAAAAAACAAAAACAGGTTGTACTATATATAGAAGACAATTGACATTCAGTTTTTTGAAAGCGGTAATGGAATAGTAGGCTGCATGAAGATAAAAATAAGGTGTATAGTTGAAGGATAGGTGTGCTAAGAAAGAGAAAGATTATAATAAGGTGTATAGTTGAAGGATAGGTGTGTTATTTTTATTAGAGGTTTTTTTTTTTTTGACACTGCCAGTGTTTCAACTGCCTCCCGCAGTGCCACATCCTCCGGTATGTTTTGACTTTTATTGTGATTCTTTTCTTAACACACCTATCCTTCAACTATACACCTTATTATTATCTTCATGCAGCCTACTATTCTGATATTTTAATTACATTGTCACCCACTATATCTCTGATATCATCTTTTTATTTCTGTATATGACAACTTCTTCTTATTTTATATCTACTTATATTCATTTTTTTTATTTTTACCATGTTTTGTATCTTTTGTCGGCAAAAATTAAATAATTACTTTATTTTAATTTAGTATTTATTTGACCGCACCCCCCGATCAACTCCTCATATTTTATCAACGGTCAACCATCTCTACATCATAAAAAATAAGAAATAAATATCCTCATTCATAAATAAACATAACAAGGAACTAATGAATGACAAAATATAAAAAATAATAAATAAATATCCTCATTTATAAATAAACATAACAAGGAATGAATGAATGCCAAAATATAAAAAATAATAAATAAATATCCTCATTTATAAATAAACATAACAATGAATGAATAAATGAAAAAATAATAAATAAATATCCTCATTTATAAATAAACATAACAAGGAATGAATGAATGAAAAAATATAAAAAATAATAAATAAATACCCTCATTTATAAATAAACATAATAAGGAATGAATGAATGAATGAAAAAATAATAAATATCCTCATTTATAAATAAACATAACAAGAAATGAATGAACGAAAAAATATGAAAGAAAAAATTCTTGGACTACAGTTTCCTCAGAATAATAACAGAGTTACAAATTTATGAGTTTTAGTCCGATTTAAAAAAAAAAAAAAATACAATCTAATTGCTTATTGTTACTGCAACTGTGCAGTGGATTGAAATCAAACAGTATACAGATGCAAGTAATGTTACATGTTAGCGGAAGTTTGAATATGGTGGAACAGGAATTGTTTGAAGGAATTTGTGGACGAGGATTGACGTATGGAGTCAGTTCCGAAAGGAGGCAGCACGAGTGACGAATGATTTGCTGAAGGAAGTAGTTTTATAGGAGGAAATATGTAAGTCTATTGGATGAGATCTGGTATCAAGAGAGTGGATTGAGGAACGTAGAGTGAGGAGTTCCAGGATTTAGGGAGGGTTATGGTTCTGAAGACTTGGAAAAGGATAACACCAAGGAGAAATTGTCGTCGAGAAGTAGGATAAAACAATTTCAACTCGGTGTACCAGAATGAAACATGCGATATATAGATATGAAACTGTAATATAGTTACGTAGAACGTAAGGAGCAATTGCAATGAGGCAACTTTTAGAAAACATGTAGCATGCGGCATGAAAGCATGCTATACACAGCCTTTCCATAGAGGTAACAAAATGCGATAAAAAATATGTCTCCTAGCCGCATGCTACAAGTTTTACAAGAGGGCAACATAGAGTGGGCGCACGAAAAAAACTACGTTTCTATTGGCAATTACTAATAATAGAATAATAAAAGAATAATGATAACGCCGAATACAAAGATATAAGGATCGGATAATGAACGATCTATCGAAAGCAGCGGTTCGATGGGCTCTTATGTATAAATCAGAAGACCGGGAACGAGTATTGCAAGAACGAACAGAGGATTTGAAATGAAGGAGTTCGGAGATGTATGAAGGTCGGTGGGATTGGATTGAAAGAGGAAGGATGCCAGGAAATACTCACGACGGTAGGAAGGATAAAGCCACTTCAACTCTGCATAAAAACGGGAAACAGAGGCGTTCCTTGAGATCCCGAAGATGAATCGTACAAAGGAATTCATCAAACGTTTTAGTTTCGCCTCGAGATCCCCAGAGACACCCCCATATACCGTACAACAACAGTCAAAGTGGAGAAAAATTAAGGAAGTTACTAGGAACCTACGGGTTTCAAGGAGAAATAGGCGACAGGAGTAATTTAGACGTTTAAAGGTGGAAATGGTACGGCGGGAGATTTTTCCAGGAAAGCGTTTGACAAAAGATCATTCCAAGGTTTTTGTTGGAGGGATAGAATTTAATAGGATTATAGATAGGCCATTTTTTTTGGAGGGGGGGCTAATTTGATGAGGCTAAGAAGCACTCCTCCTGAAAGAACAATCGTTATTTATTATATATCGATCTTACCCAAATATCGATCTCGGGGCCGGTGTACTTCTTGCCCTCGAAGACCTCCGGAGCTGCGTAGGGTGGAGAGCCGCACCACGTGGCCAGCTGCTCCCCCGGGCTGTAGTAGTTGGAGAACCCGAAGTCCGCGATCTTGATGTTCATCCCGTTGTCCATCAGCAGGTTCTCCGCCTGAAAAAAAAAGATGGCAGCACCATCAAGTAACGGTCCGTAAATATTACATTACTAGTTGTATAATGAATAATTACAATAATAATAACTATATAAGTCATAGAACAAAATACAAATAAATAAGAAAATAATATGTATAAGAGGATGGAAGAATCATTTTTTGTTTTATCAGTAATTATAATCGACCTAGGAAACAATAATAAAATGGATATTTAAGGCCAGAGGAGAATTAATAAAATTAATCTGCTAATTGTCACTACCATAAAAAAAAACAAAAAAACTGTAGGATATATTACGAAACAAATAATAAGTTATGTTCATTATGTAATATGAATGAAATAGAAAATATCGTGCATTTCCTTGGTGTATGTCCTGTTCTGGCGGAACTTAGGAGAAGATATTTTGGAAAAGATGACACTTGGAGAAATAATTGCACGTTTGAACGGAATAAATTGGTTACGTCTATCTTATTATTGTAAAGCAGCCTGGCAATACAGATATGCCTTAGGCCAAAAATTTAATTTATAATTGATGAATAATGTTTAAGCCGAAAAAATCATTTATCTAATTATATTGAAATATCTATATTAAAAATTTGTATGTATTTATATATTTAAATTTTATTGTGTATTTATAATTGTGATATTAAGATATGATATATTTTGTCTCTGTATTTATTAGCATTTACATCGTATTTATTAACATTAACATAGTAGGTTTTAGATTATATTATTATGTCAATAATACTTGTCTTGCCAAGGCCAGCCTCCAACTGACGGTTTCAAGAACCAAGCCGTAAATATTTTTTTATTGAGCTTAGATACTTTTGTTGTTTGTTATTATTTGTATAAATACTCAATAAAAAATTCATTCGTTCATTCATAATCGACCAAGGAAAAGAAAATTAATTTAAAACATCATGTTTGAACTATTTAATTTTTCTCTATTTTTTTTATTTATTGAGTATTACAACAATCTGTCACTTGGGACATTAGTTATAGTGAGGTAGGATAACATTTACACTATATGTACAAAAAAATATAAAATAAATAGAAGCAAAATAACAATAAATAATAATCAATACGTATATGCATTAAATAAAATACATTTTTTTTTAAACTCGATTCTTTAACTCACACCTATCAGAAGTTCCGACAATCAGCAATTGTTTTTCTCCTACAAGCTATATTTCTTTGTTTTTATTACAGTTTTTATTTTTGTTATATATACATTATTATCTTTTGTATGTATTTATTTTTATGTATTTATTTTGTTTATTATATTGTAAATATGTCTTACAGCTTTAATACTCCGTACCCTTAAGTGTGATAAAATGTATTATACCTCAATAAAAATATTAAAAATTTAAAAAAAGTATGCAATAGCTCGCAGTACAGACCCCTTTTTATCAAATTATTAACACCCGCCTAAAACTTTGTGAATAGCTTCATCGTGTTGTAACTGAACAAATTTTTCATCTAAGGAAATTATCAAGAATGGGGAGTTTTCTAATTAATTTAATAAGGTAATATTTTTGTTTAACATAATTTTTCAACTCACACCTGTTATAAGTTCCGACAATCAGCGAGTGTGATGTCAAGATGTAGAGATTGGTCTTGGAATAGGCGTGAGGGAGAGGAGTGCCCAGCGGCGTCCTTCCTTTCTTGACCGTAATGTTTATAGTTAGTGGAGGAGATCCCTCATCCAGCTTCTTTTAAGCCTCCTTCGGGTGCTATCGGGCATGTTAGTTGTGGCCATGCTTCGAACCAATGAGTTGGTATGTCCGTGTAAGTTATTATGAAATCGTTTGTAGTATGTTCGTATGTGGTCGTTAACTGTTGGCATCTGTAAGTCTTTATGTAGAGTAATGTTACTGACGTACCAGGGAGCTTTGGTAATTGTCCTGAAAGTTTTAGATTGAAAAGTCTGTAATTTACGTATGTGAGTCTTTTTGGCTGTCCCATATATCTGTAAAGCGTAGGCCCAAATAGGCTTGAGTAGGTAAGTATATGTATTCAATTTCTGTCAAAGTTTTAATTTTGAATTTCTTGCAAGGAGTGAGTACAATAGTCGTAGTCTTAGATTTAGAGTTTTTGTTTTGTTTTTGATATGTTGGCCCCATGTCATTCTTCTGTCAAAGGTCAGTCCAAGATATTGAACTTTGTCTGTCTGAGGAATTTGGATATTGTCAAGGTAAATAGCAGGGCAAGTTTCACGTCGAAGGGTAAAACTGATATGTAGTGATTTGTCTTGGTTGAGTCAAATTTTCCAGAGTTTGCACCAGTCGTAGAAATTGTTTAGGTGATATTGTAAAGTCTGTGAGGCGTATGCTGAACTTTGATGTCTTGTCAAGATTGTTGTGTCGTCTGCGTAAGTCGAGGTCAGAGTATCGAAAGGATCTGGAATATCATATGTGTAAATGATATACAACAGAGGAGCGAGTACTGACCCCTGTGGCACTCCTGCTAAGGCAGGTTTAATAGTGGATAGTTCTGTACCTTGGCAAACAGAGAAAAATCTGTCAGAATGAAAAGATTGAAGAATAAGATAGTAGGTAGGAGAGAGTATAGACTTAAGTTTGAAAAGAAGTCCCTGATGCCAGACTCTATCGAACGCTTGAGCAACATCCAGAAATACTCCTGTTGCATATAATTTGTGCTCTAGTGCTGTCGCAATGTAGTCTGTCACTCGGTGTAGCTGATGAATGGTTGAGTGGTGTGAACGAAATCCAAACTGATGTTCAGGTATTATGTACACGGTAAGTAATGTTAATTTTGATGTTAAACCATTGTGTTAAAATGCTATAAACAATATTGTGCTAAAATAATATAAAACATGATCAAAGTTTTTAAAGAAAGTAACCAATGGTAGAACTTCAAAGTTTAGATTAATTTAGGAGACCCCTTGCAAAACTTTCCAGAAGCTTCTGAAAGATGTCAGGTATTACTTTGGATGAAAGGTTAGGAACCAGAGGGTTAGGATGACCAACTACTTTGAAATTAAAAGAGAAATATCTAGTTCCAACCAAGTCTTTAACAAATGGAATATTGAGGTCTCTGTGAATAATTGTATTTGTGATGGGGGGAGGGGAGGGGAGAAGTGGTCGAGTGGTACCCGCCAACCAGATACAAGATAAGGTTATGAAATAAATACTAGTTTAGAAGAAAGAGGTGCAACCGTGGACCAGCTCCAAATCTAGCAGTCGTAGAGAAGAAGTCGTCCTCACGCGGCTGAGGATCGGATATACTAGACTGACACACCTCCACCTCATAACAAAAGATCTTATCCCCAGGTGTCAAAAGTGTGACCAGACATTAAGTATAAAACATGTTTTGGAAAAGTGCCCTTTTTACAACGTAAGGTTAAAAGGTATCGGAATACCCCAGAATATATCAGCATCCCTGGGAAATCAAGAAGAAATCGTTACCAAAGTTATGAAGTTCCTAGATAATGAAAGATTTAAAAAACATATATGACAAGTTTATACCTAACGATCCTTTGCAGAATTATTTTTATTTTCAAAAGTTCATTTAATTATTAATTTAAATTAATTTATTGATTTTATCGTTATTTTTTAAAAGTTTCTTTATTTACTTATTCTTTCTTATTATCTACAAGTGTCTATTATTATCTGTATTTATTTATTTTATTCTATTAATGTTTTTATTTTTATTCTATCTTTTTTAACCTAAACAGTATAAAAGTAGTGTTATTTAGTTGATCGGGCTCTGATGAACTGGATTTTTTGTGACATCGAAACAAACAAACAATACGAGTTACAATTACATTCCGAGAAAACCTCATGAAACAGCGTCCGCAAACTTACAAAGGCACCTCTTCCTGATTGAACACTGGTGTAAGAAATGGCGCATTAAGGTAAACGAATCTAAATGTAAACACATTACCTTCACCCTTCGGCGTAATACCTGCCCACCAGTTTATTTTAACTCCATCCAGCTTCCTTTCTCAGATACAGTCCGGTATCTTGGCTTTCTCTTAGACAGACGACTAACATGGAATCCACATACTCGACTTAAAAGACAGGAACTTAACAGACGATATGGCCAGCTATATAGACTACTGAATAGAAAATCTAAACTTTCTGGTGAAAACAAATTACTGATCTACAAGACAATACTGAAACCCATCTGGACTTACGGACTAGAACTATGGGGAACAGCCAAATTTTCTAACATCAAACGCATTCAATCCTTTCAGTCTAAAGTCCTCCGTACAATAGTCAATGCTCCCTTCTATGTAACCAATAAAACCCTACACCATGACCTTAATATCCCATTTATTCTTGATCTTATCCCAGCCAAATTTTCCAAATTTCACCAGAACCTTTCTCATCACCCAAATCCCGTTGTACAATCCCTATCAAGCACCACCCATCCCTACAATCCCCTTCGTAGGTTAAAGCGGCAGTGGCCACGAGACCTTTTGTAAATATGGATATTTTGGAGTTCTAGCAATGGCCAGATTCTCCACTCAAGTCATGAGTGTCTGTGGCTGTAGCGCTCTTACTCATCCTCCGCTGGTTTAAAATACCAGTGAAGTGGCTGAGGGAGAAGCGTAGGGATCTCCTAAGCCTCCCTTTTCCCTCCACATGTGGAGGGGACAGGATTGGTTCGGAGATCACCTGGCAAATTGTAAATAATGTATGTTTTATATAAGGTGTTTGTTTTACTTTTATTTCTATTTTTATTTACTTATGTGTATATATATATTTTTTTTTTCTTTACTCTTTTGTTCTTTCTTCTTATTCTTTTGTTATTACTTTATTTATTTATATTTTTGTATATACGGTATGAATGCAATCTCTGAACTCTATTATAAGTGTCCTTAAACTGTGACAAATTGTAATATTTCTGAATAAAGTGTTTTAAGTTCTATAATAAAAAAATAAGAAAACCTCATATAACGTAAAATGTGAGGAAGGAAAAGACATAAAAGAATTATTTGTGAAGGAATAAGGATCATTAAGGTTTTTAGAAGGG